AGCCCCTTTTTCTTGATTTCGTCTTAAAGCTCCTATGATATCGTCCACTTTTTGTTCAACAACTATTCAGAGATTCTTTTTTGTTTTTGAGTTATTTGCAAAAGAAACATTTAGGGGCCAACCCTTCAACTTCCTAACGGGGACGTTTAGCGAAAATTGAAGGGTGTCATATTGTTCCAAACATTATTTTGAACATCTTTTGTTCAATATTACTCATCAAAATATTTCTCTCTTTCGAGATATAAAGCATCAAAGATTTAGCATTCTGGCCCCTTGTGGCCCCTAATTATGTACCATACGACATAAAAATCATAATATATAGTTGTAAATGGTTGAGATAAACATCTTTGCTTCACAATTGTATAACAAAATATTTACTGCAAAAATGTAATTGGATAAAGAATTTTGGCCCCATTCAGTCCTTAATGTGATGAATCAGCACTTTTTTCTTGAAATCATATGAAAGATCTTGTAGTTCTGCACAAATATTGTTCAGTATGTCTTAACAAAATAATTATACTTTAAAAGATACAATGCAAAATGTCTCAAAAAATCAGTCATGATACGTGTACTAATTTTTTACCCCTACCGAGCTTCCATACTAGGCACTTCCGGAAAATATCCTGACCAAGGTGCAATATGGCAACATGTCCTCTATCATCCCTGAAATTTCAGCTTTCTAGCTTGAGCCGTTTTTGAGTTCCATCACAGACATGGAGGTCATCTAAATTTTGATAAAAGGGCGATAACTTCCGACCGGAAGTGATTTTTTCAAAATCGAAGCGCCGGTACAAACTTCAGATAGGAACACATAAACTCTGAAAATTTGAACGAAATCGATCGAGCCATCTCCGAGAAATCTTCTGCACAAAATCGGTAAGGAAAAAATAGAAAAAAAAAAAATAATAACAATAATAATAAAAGTGAAAAAGAAACCGAAGAATCATAGAAGGGTCTTCCGCTGAAGACGGAAGACCCTAACTAGATATGATCTCGCTGCGAGCAACGAGTGGGTCTTCCGTCCGATTCTTGATAAGATGAAATAAGATTTTGATTGAGATTTTCATTCTAAAATAATGATTTTCCATAATCTGTAAAAAGACATTGAACATTATAGACTTTTGAAAATTCGACTTTTAGCCCCTCACGGCCCCGCACATTAGGGATCAGCCCTTTTTTCTTTATATCATCTTAAATCTCTCAGGATTTCGATGACTTTTTCTTCAACAACTATTCAGAGATTCTTTTTCGTTTTCGAGTTATTTGAAAAAGAAACATTTCGGGGCCAACCCCTCAACTCGTTAATGGGGATGTTTAGCGAAAAATAAAAGGTTGCATATTGTTCAGAACATGATTTTTAATATCTTTTGTTCAATATTACTTATCAAAATATTTCCCACTTTTGTGATATAAAGCATCAAAGATTTAGTATTCTGGCCCCTTGTGGCCCCTAATTATGTACCATACGACATGGAAATCATAATATATAGTTGTAAATGGTTGAGATAAACATCTTTGCTTCAGTGAATGTATTACAAAATATTAACTGACTAAAGAGTTATCGATTGAAGATTTTGGTCCCTCTTGGCCCCTTATTTGAGCGTGAAGCCCCATTTTCTTGCTTTCACATTAAGCTATTTAATTTTTGAACACTTTTTGTTCAACAACTATTCAGAGATTCTTTTTCGTTTCCGAGTTATTTGCAAAAGAAACATTTAGGGGCCAACCCTTTAACTCCTTAATGGGGACGCTAAGCGAAAAATGAAAGGTTGCGTATTGTTCAAAATATTATTTTAAACATCTTTTGTTCAATATTACTTATCAAAATATTTCCCACTTTTGAGATATAAAAGCGTCAAAGATTATGTATTTTGACACCTTTTGGCCCTTAATTATGTGCAATACGACATGAAAATCATAATATATATTTGTAAATTGTTGAGATAAACATCTTGGCTTCAATAATGTATTACAAAATATTAACAACTAAAGAGTTATCGATTGAAGACTTTTGGTCCCTCTTGGCCCCTTATTTGAGCGTGAAGGCCCTTTTTCTTGATTTCACATTAAAGCTCTTTAAATTTTGAATACTTTTTGTTCAACAACTATTCAGAGATTCTTTTTCGGTTTTTAGTTATTTGAAAAAGAAACATTTAGGGGCCAACCCTTTAACTCCTTATTGGGGACGTTTTGCGAAAAATGAAAGGTTGCATATTGTTCAAAACGTCATTTTTAACATCTTTTGTTCAATATTACGTTTCAAAATATTTCCCACTTTTGAGATATAAAGCGTCAAAGATTATGTATTTTGGCCCCTTTTGGCCCTTAATTATGTACCATACGACATGAAAATTATAATATATATTTGTGAATTGTTGAGATAAACATCTTTGCTTCAGTAATGTATTACAAAATATTAACAACTAAACAGTTATCGATTGAAGACTTTTGGTCCCTCTTGGCCCCTTATTTGAGCGTGATGGCCCTTTTTCTTGATTTCACATTAAAGCTCTTTAAATTTTGAATACTTTTTGTTCAACAACTATTCAGAGATTCTTTTTCGGTTTTTAGTTATTTGCAAAAGAAACATTTAGGGGCCAACCCCTCAACTCCTTAATGGGGACCTTTAGCAAAAAATGAAAGGTTGCATATTGTTCAGAACATGACTTTTAACATCTTTTGTTCAATATTACTCATCAAAATATTTCCCACTTTTGAGATATAATGCGTCAATGATTTAGCATTTTGGCCCGTTTTGGTCCCTAATTATGTACCATACGACATGAAAATCATAATATTTAATTGTAGATGGTTGAGATAAACATCTTTGCTTCAGTAGTGCATTACAAAATATTAACAACTAAAGAGTTATCGATTGAAGACTTTTGGCCCCTCTTGGCCCCATTATTTGAGCGTGAAGCCCCTTTTTCTTGATTTCATCTTAAAGCTTTTAAGATTTTGAAAACTTTTTGTTCAACAACTATTCAGAGATTCATTTTCGTTTTCGAGTTATTTGTAAAAGAAACATTTAGGGGCCAACCTCTCAACTCCTTAATGGGGACGTTTAGCGAAAAATGAAAGGTTGCATATTGTTCAGAACATGATTTTGAACATCTTTTGTTCAATATTACTTATCAAAATATTTCTCTGTTTCGAGATATAAAGTGTCAAAGATTGAGCATTCTGGCCCCTTGTGGCCCCTAATTATGTACCATACGACATATAATTATAATATATAGTTGTAAATCGTTGAGATAAACATTTTTGCTTTAGTAATGTATTAAAATTTATTGACAGTTAAAGAGCTAGAAATTGAAGACTTTTGACCCCTCTTGGCCCCTAATTTGAATGTTAAGCCCCTTTTTCTTGATTTCATCTTAAAGGTCTTTAGATTTTGAACACTTTTTGTTCAACAACTATTCAGAGATTCTTTTTTGTTTACGAGTTATATGCAAAAGAAATATTTAGGGGCCAACCCTTCAACTCCTTAATGGGGACGTTTAGCAAAAAATGAAAGGTTGCAGATTGTTCAAAACAATACTTTGAGCATCTTTTGTTTAATATTACTTGTCAAAATATTTCTTACTTTCGAGATAAAAAGCCTCAAAGATTTAGCATTCTGGCCCCTTGTGGCCCCTATTTATGTTTCATACGACATTAAAATTATGATATAGTTGTAGATTGTAGAGATAAACAACTTTGCTTCAGTAATGTATAACAAAATATTGACAGTTACTGAGTTATCGATTAAAGACTTTTGGCCCCTTTTGGCACCTAATGTGATGAGTCAGCACTTTTTTCTTGATATCATATAAAAGATCCTGTCATTTTGCACAAATATTGCTCAGTATGTCTTAACAAAATAATTATACTTTAAAAGATATGATGCAAAATGTCTCAAAAATTCACTAGTGATTCGTGTCCTAAATTTTGACCCCTACCGAGCTTCCATACTAGGCACTTCCGGAAAATATCCTGACCATGTTGCAATATTGCAACATGTCCTCTATCATCCCTGAAAATTTCAGCTTTCTAGCTTGAGCCGTTTTTGAGTTCCATCACAGACAAGGAGGTCATCAAAATTTCGATCAAAGAGCGATAACTTACGACCGGAAGTGAATTTCAAAAAAATGATAAAAATGGATCAGGTTCGGATGAAGACAAATCTTTCCTGAAAATTTCAAGTCAATCGATCGAGCCATCTCCGAGAAATCTTCTGCACAAAAATTGTAGTAAGAAAAAGGAAGAATAATAAAAGTGAAAAAGAAACAATAGAATAATAGAAGGGTCTTCCGTTGGAGACGAAAGACCCTAATAAAAGTGAAAAAGAAACAATAGAATAATAGAAGGGTCTTCCGTTGGAGACGGAAGACCCTAAAAATAGTGGAAAAGAAACCTAAGAATAACAAGAAGGTCTTGTATTGTCAATTAACAATAGTAATTTCCATTCCTATGTCGACATGATATATCCTAATGAGTTTCAGATAAAAGATACCACAAAGAGTCTGACGCTTCTGTTTCAAACTTGGATATTCTACTTGAAAAAGATTCTTTTGTAATCTAAAAAACAACCTATATGATAAACGTGATGAATTAAATTTTTCTTCACCTTTTTATACCTTCATCACCTGCATACTGAGTATATCTCAGTTGTTTCGTTACGCAAGAACATGCTCTACGTATGAACAATTTCTAAAACGAGGTAAATTATTGACAAGCAAGTTGATGAAACAGGAATATCAGCAGTCTCGTTTAAAATCATTATTTCGTAAATACTATGGTCGATACGATGACCTTGTCAGCAAATACAATTTATCATTTAGTCAAATGCTGACTGATGTTTTTCATACCTATTGTTAGTCCATTGTTGATATACTGAATTGACGACGCATTTACGCATTATGCCATGAAAGGGATTAAAGACCTCTGCCATTTGTTTGTTAGCGTGGTGAATTGGCAATGTCTATGAAGGATACCACTGAGGTTCTTAAGGATGGTTCTTAAGGACTGCCGGGATTGAATGTGGTTACCAGAGGGACCCTGTAGCTATTGTCTTTCTCCTTCTAGGGTAATAAGTTTGCCTGTCATGTCATTTCATCAATAGCAGTTTGTGTGGTGCGGGTATTGTAGCCTCTCTTGTATAAGTGGAACTTAAGAATACCGCTTTGTTCCTGATATAAGGCAGGGGATGTGCTTGAAGTATTAAGCTACGTTCAAGTCTGCCCATGAAAACTTTTGCTTAAAAAATTTTCGTATTTTCGTACCCGTAACAGTGCCATTAAGCTGCAGGAAATGTTCTCCATTGAAAATGTTGTTATAATTGAGAACACCCTAACAAAAAAATACTATAGTTAACTATAGTTAACTATAGTAAACTATAGTTAACTATAGTTAACTATAGTTTACTATAGTTAACTATACTTAACTTTAGTAAATCAAAGTGTCAAAGTTTTCGTCAAAGTTTTTCAAAGTGTCAAAGTTTTCGTCAAAGTATTTCAAAGTGTCAAAGTTTTCACTAAAGTTTTTTCAGATTGTCAAAGTTTTCGTCAAAGTTTTTCAAAGTGTCAAAATTTTCGCCAGAGGTTTTTAAAAGTGTCAAAGTTTTCGATAAAATTTTTCAAAGTGTTAAAGTTTTTGCCAAAGTTTTTCAAAGGGTCAAAGTTTTCGTTAAATTTTTCAAAGTGTCAAAGTTTTCGTCAAAGTTTTTCAAAGTGTCAAAGTTTTCACTAAATGGTTTTCAAAGTATTAAAGTTTTCGCCAAAGTTTTTCAAAGTGTCAAAGTTTTCGATAAAGTTTTTCAAAGTTTTCGATAAAGTTTTTCAAAGTGTTAAATTATCCAAGTTTTCGATAAAGTTTTAAAAGTGTCAAAGTTTTTGATAAAGTTTTTAAAAGTGTCAAAGTTTTTAATAAAGTATTTGATAAAGTAATTCAACGTTTCAAAGTTTTCGATTAAGTTTTTGAAAGTTATAAAGTTTTCGCCAAAGTTTTTCAAACTGTCAAAGTTTTCGATAAAGTTTTTTTAAGTATCAAAGTTTTCAAAAAACTTTTTCAAAGTGTCAAAGTTTTCGCCAAAGTTATCACTATAGTTAATCAAAGTTTTCAAAGTGTCAAAGTTATAACTATTGTTAACTATAGTTAACTATAGTATTTTTTGTTAGGGCATGCTCAAGGAGCTTGACAAGGGACTCTGTAGAAAGAATTTGTATGGATCTACTTTCCCAGACTTTTCTACAGGATTCGATATCCTCATCGTGTAGAATATTGGTGTATAAAGATGTGACGTCCATAGTCACGAGAAGGGTATGATCTGGAAGGCCAGTAGAGAGCGTATTTTTAATGTAGCCCGTGGTGTCCTTGAAATAGGATGGCAAATTCTCTAAGTGTAGAAGGAAATGTAAATCAATGTATTCAGAAATTTTCCCCGTGTGGTGTCCAATTGCAACTACTGTAGGGCGACCTGGCATGCCTTCTTTTGGTATCTTAGGAAGTAGATAAAATTGGCCTGGTCTACGGTCAGTAGGATTTAGTTTCTCAAAGACGATGATACCGATCTCGTTTTTCTCAAACATTTGGTCAACAGTTTTTGTGATAGCGGAGGAGAATTCCTTAATAGGGTCAGAGTTTAGTTTCTCATACAAACGTTCGTCCAAGAGTTGTCCATGAGCCTCCGCCATGTATATCTCTTTATCCAGTACTACAACTATACAACTCTTGTGTGCTTTCTTTATCACAATGTCATCCCCATTCTTTAATAATTGTAAGGCGGATCTCTCTTCCTTACTCAAAATGTCGGGAGCTTTGTCCGGCATTGAATGGAGCTTCTCTATGTCTGACTCAAAGGCGTCAATATACGACTCAAGGGCGCAGCATTTGCCCAGTGCAGTCACTTTAGGGCCTAAAGAGATTTTGTTCCTCTAGATTGTGTAAATCTGCCTGGGAAAAGCCATATGAATCAACTTCAGAGTCTTTTCCAGAGAAGTGCTCCTTCAAACAAAGTCTCCGAAAGAATGCTCGATGTCATCTCTGATTTGTTTTTCGCCGACCTCATGTGGCTTTGGGCAGAAATTTAGCCCCTTGGAAAGAAGTGAAGTCTCTGATTCGGAGAGAGGAGAACTAGATTTATTTAGCACTGGGCAGACGCAGGAGTTTGTGAGGGTCCGTTCCTAGAGATTGTCTTTATGCGCTTGAAGCGTCTCGAGCGAGGTTTCCGTGATTTGTTTTCTCTGACCTCTGACCGGTTGTTTCTAGTCGGTGGAACCCTGTCTCGGAGAAATTACTTTCTTAGAGTCTTGTCAAGTTTATTTGTTAAGGCCATATTACATGTGTCAATAATTTTATGTGCTTCATCAAGATCGGTCTGGTACATGATATCATTAAGGGATGAATCTAAGGAAGTGATCTTACTCTCAGATTGTCCTAACTTGTTGATATCCTAATAAAGACAGAGTGACATCAATTGTTTAGAGCATCTCTTGGTAAAAACTTCCAAGCGTTCTTGAAAGCGTTTGGAGATTGTCCCTATGTTACATGTAGGCGTAATATTTATCTGGAAACCTTTTGGTATAATGTCACACTCTAGAAAATGTAAAACGATATCGGGCAGCGAGAAATTCAAATACTGAGTATATTTTTAGTCCTCCAAACATGTAAAATGTAAATGTAAGGAATGTTTTTAAGATTTGTGTGAATTATTGGTGTGTGAATCACACAAACTTGTACGTAGGCATATTTTTCATGAATTAAGCGCTAGCGCGCTTCATAAATATACCTAAGTGACAAGTCTGTGTGATTCACACACCAATAACTCACACAAAACTTAAAAACATTCCTTAAATGAGGTCACTGCATCGACTAAAAACTAGTGAAATGATGTTGATTTTTGATATACTTGTTTCGTCATCATATTTGGGAATAGCTTCCCCATTTCAGAAATCGTTCATACGTAGAGCATGCCTTTGCGTATGGAATCAAATGAGAGACATAAACCGCAAATGCAGGTGATAAAAGTATATTGTTGCAGAATAAAGTCAAGTTGACGATTGAAAAGCTGAAACCATCATGTTTATCATAAATCTTTGTTGTTAAGTTATAATTAGCTTTTTCCTAGTAAAATATCCAACTATTAAAAAACGTGACATTCACTGTGGCTACTTTAATTTCAAGCGCGTTGGAATATATCTAGTCAAAATGGGAAATAACAAATACATTGTGGATATGTTTGTACCGGTACCTTAATGACGAATCGAAGACCAGGAAAAGATTATTTTTTCTTCTTCTCATGTAAAAGTTTTTGAATAAATCTTTTTTACAGGAATACAGAAATAGGTTTGCTACATGTAATGATGGGATGCAATTTGTATCACAGGCACTTGATACAATTTTAATAAAAAATCGAGTATATAGTATAATAGGGGAGAAGGGGTTTGACGAGCCGCCATCAATTCCTCCATTTTCACCTTCGATTAGCCTCTGAGTTCAATCGGGTCAGCCAAATTTGATTCCATAATCAACTAGTAATATTATCCAATCATATTTCACCGTTTAAACTTACGGCAATCAGTGTGGATTTCATTCAGTATGGTTGACCTGATTAAATTAAGGTAATGCACGAAAATTGCATGGAAAAATGGTGTAGGGTTAATGATCGCGACCTAATATTCGGAAGTTCGATTATTTTTTCTCAGTTCTAATAAAGTAAGGTAAATGATCAATATGACAAAAAGGAAAACCATCTGCCTTTCACCTGGCAAAACTTTTTCACAGATTTTTAAAAATAAAAATCAGACTTTTTAGAGTTTGAAGAGAGGACCAAAGAATTTATGGTTGCTCGTAAGATCCCTTCTCCCTGTGCTTTGTATCTATGGAATTCTTACAATTGGGAAAACATGAATAACTTTGAGATAACGAAGAGTATTCAAGGTCAAACGTCCATTCAAGCATTTCAAAACAGGAGCAGAGCAAACATTGACCTCTAAAACATCAGGAGGTGGATCAGGTACCATGGAAGAGTGAGCATCACTTGTCGACCGGTCAAACTCACCGTGTGCTCCTTTTCACAATTGGTAAATAACGTCAAAAATTCTGTGTGTAAATAATGGCCTTCATACCTACGTGCATGGATTTCACTTAAATTGAATATTTAATCACAATAATCTGGTAAATCAATGATTACATTTCTTTATTTTCTTTGATTGATACTGGTTCCCATATTTTTTATACAGAAAATTAAACTTGAATTGATTATTTTCCACCAGAATTAACTTTAAATTATAGATCTTATCATAATAGAGCATGGCTAATTTCATACTATCGGGATACTCTAAAGGCATTTTTCTTAAGTATTTGGAGCTTTAAAAAAAATCTTTGTTAATTTTAGCATTATTTTAAGTCATGATTATTTTACTGACAAGTCAATTTACTTATCATTAGTTTCTCTAGCTCTTTTTATTTGAGGGTTGCATGGAATACTCTTTATGTAAGCGTGGTGCTTGTAACACGTGTAGCTTTCTCAATTAAAAAAATCTTATACCGGGGTATCTAACGGAAGCCCGTTGAGGCCAGTTCAGAGAAAGAAATATTTTTAATTGCGTTTAAACGCAATAATTATTGCGCTTAAACGCCAAACATCGATTCTTATCGCAGGAAAAATCGCAAAAATCATGCGTTTAATTGCAAAAGATTGCGTTTAATCGTAATAGTTTTTTTTGCGTTTAATTGCAATAGTTTTTTTGCATTTAAACGCAATATTTTGTTTCATTTAAATGCAATGCTCTTTGCATTTTATTGCAATAATCCTTCCTATTAAGGATTCATTTTGCATTTAACCACAATGATTCAGTGCTGTAGTTTGAAATCAAACATCGTTTAGCCAAAGATTATTATGAATACTATGGTCCGATTCTTCAAAGAAGAACCAGAGTTTCTTTAAGCTATTAGAACCCAACTCTTTTTACGCAGCCATTAATCAATTCCTTAGGTATCACAGCAAATTGAATATGTTTCATTGGTATTAATAGCTATATATTCTTGTGTTCTCAAGTTTACTGTATGTGATCAAAGGAATGGTTATGAATATACATATACATAATATGTACATGTACATATACATAACATTTCATTAGTCGTTTCCATAAGCCCTTTATACAGGTACATGTTTTAAACTTTGTGACCGCATCGTGAAGTGATAGTTTTTCAATCATTATTTCGTTACCAGTCTTTTATTTCGAAAATCCATTAAAATAAAAATATTTTTAAAGTTTAAGGTGGAATAACCCTCTCATAAGAGAGATAACTTTTCTGACAAGAGAGATAAATTTCTTCAGACATTTTGTCATGAAATTCAGTGAATTGTCATGTCAGAGTTTACTAATTTTAATCATTAGAAGCATTTCATAGTCAACTCAATCAAACCACGTCTGATTTACAAATGTTGATATCTAGTTTCTATTGCTAGTATATTTATTAATTATTTATAATAGTTTACTTAAAACAATTATACTCAGTTCCTTTAAACAGTTTAAATTGAGAAATCTCTATCTCTTATAATACAATTCTTTTAATTGTACAGAAATTTCAGATGTAGTATTGTTTATAAAAAATTAATTATTAATTTGTTTCATTAAAAAATATTTTCAAGGGCGATAATGGAACGATAACTCTTGTTTATGGATGCGTGTTATTTTACATGCACAGAAAACGATTTGTTATTCTGATTTAAAAAGCAGCGCTTCAGTATGTTTTCTAATGTGGATTAGATAGGTATGATAGTAAATATTATTTTCATATATACCTCATATTTCTAATTTAATTGTGAGATAAAAAATAATTAATCTTTCTATGTTCCATATCAAATTTTCTTCACATCATGATTTGACATATTATTAATTTCTGAAAAAGTAAGCAACGCTTCATACTTCAAACAATTTTCCATTTGAATTTAATGCTATAGTTGTTGCTGAAAATCAATGTCTGGATTTAAAAAAAAAAGTCGTGAAATTTGGAGCAGAGGGATATTGCCCCTTAAAAGTAGAAAAATCAATATTGAAAATGCATGTTATTTTTGTTTGTAATTATAAGCAACTGACCACAGATTTAACATGAATATATATATCCATACATGCTAAAGCTCTGTTACTTTCTTATGTTGCCTTTGGTTTTACAGACCGACACTTCTTTCACCTCTTTAAATCCATACCAATGATTTAATCATTCAGAAAATGCTTGTTCAGAAAAATCTGATTCCATAAAGCTTAACAACACACAATTTTTCTCATAGGATACTGTGCAGAAAAGAAGTAAAGAAAAAATATCAGCGTGGATCCATTGCACTCTTCAAAGATCAATAGATATAATTGCTTTTTAATTCAAAGATTATTGCGATTAAATGTAAGAAAATGTTGCGTTTAATCACAATATTATTGCTATTAAATGCAAAAATTATTGCGTTTCATCTTAAAAGTATTGCGTTTAATCGCAATATTATTGCGTTTAAACGCGCACATTATTGCGTTTAAACGCAATTTTAACAATTTAACAATTTTAATTGTAATATTATAAGATATATGATATATAAGAGTTTAACATTTATTGATTACGTTGGGTGAGCTGTGGTCTCCCCTATGATTTTATTATTCCATGTAAGGTTATAGTATCTATTTAACACTGTACCTAACCTCTGATCTCCTTACTAATAGTAAGCGACTCAACGTAAACGACATCCAGTCTCTGCATTCGCAGATCTCTAACAAGCAGGGGGAGGAGGAAGATCTTGCCCTCTACCACCCCCTACCTCTTCATTTCGCTCGGAGTT